ATGGTTACATTAATAATGTCAATGTAAAAAGTATAAAAGCACACAACACTATTCTATGATGCTAGAATTTACCCTCAGAGGGGATTAATGAAGAGAGAGCTTGAGGGGAGCTTCTGGGAAGATGACCACATTTTCTTGTTTGATCTGGGTGCTGGCTACAGGGGCCTCTTTGGTTTAAAAATTCATTAAACAATGTAATGTTATAAACATTAATAAATTATATATATTATATATATTATATGTAATATATATTACATTTCATGTATATAGATTATATACATATTACATATTACATTTCATATATATTATATATAACATTTTATATATATTGTTCATAGGAGCAGATAATATAATACTTTACATATATTTTTATATAGAAATATTTTTTAAAAAGTACTCAATACTTATATATGTCAAATATTTAAAAATCATTTGTTCCAGAATTTTAAAAAAGATAAGCTTAAAACAATGAGCTATCACTACACACCTATTAAAATGGCCAAAGTCTGGAACACTGACAACATCAAATGTTGGCAAGGAGGTAGGGCTACAGGAACACTGATTCTGGCGAGAATGCAAAATGGTACAGCCAGTTTGGAAGACGATCTGGTTGTTTCTTACAAAACGAAATATATTCTTAGCATATGATCCAGCAATCATGCTCCTTGGTATTTATGCAAAGGAGGTGAAAATTTATGTCCACACAGAAACCTGCACATAGATGTTTACAGCAGCTTTATTCACAACTGCAAAGCTTGGAAGCAGCCAGGCTGTCCTTCAGCAGGTGAATGGATAAACAAGCTGTGGTCCGTCCAGACAATGGAATATTATTCACTGTTAAAAAGAAATGAGCTATCAAGCCATAAAGAGACATGGAGGAACCTTAAATGTATGTTGCTAAGTGAAAGAAGCCAATCTGAGAAGGGTTCCTATTGCATGAGTTCAACTATAAGACATTGTGGAAAAGGCCAAACTATGAAGACAGTGAGAAGATGAGTGGCTCTCAGGGCTGGGGGTGGGGGAGGGCAGTGGGCAGGGCAGCCCCTCAGAACAGGCGGGGCACAGAGGATTCTTAGGGCAGGGAAACCACCCGCATGGTACTGCGATGGTGGACATGGGACACTATAATCTGCCCACGTCCACAGAATGGGCGACACCAAGAGTGAACTTCCGTGCAAATAACGGACTTGGGGTGATTATGAGGGCTCAGTGCAGGTCGTCAGCTGTAACACACAGCCCACCCTGGGGGGAGATGTTGTTAGTGGGAGAGGCTGTGCATGTAGGGGGGCTGGCGTGTATGGGAAACATTTGTGCCTGCCACTGCATTTTGCTATGAACAGAAAACTGCTCTGAAAAAGTCTATTTTTAAAAAATCCATGGACATTTTCCTACAGACCTTCCTTTGTTAGTTTGGCAGTGACAACTCTTAAGTGGAGGGGGTTCTCTAAAATGTAATTGTAATGTAGCTCTTTCCCACATACACTCATTTCACCTTATTTTGACTCTAGTGTAAATTCAAGACACTTGATTAAGTCTGACGTGAACGTATTCACAGACACTTGATTAAGTCTGACGTGAACGTATTCACTCCCCTGTAAGAGAATCCAATTCACGAGCTGTAAGTGTCAATTCACCAGATTGCTCTCCTTCTCAATAAAGCCTATCGAGCACAACTGAAAATAAAAAGAGCTGAGAGTCAGCAGCACAGTTACAGGTATTAAACCTACATCAAACGGTGATGAAATTTCAATGCCATAAAAATGATCTCTCTGTTATGCTCCCATCCAGAAGACTAATGCTCTCCTACTCTGATAACCTCTTCTTGGCCTTAACCCCAAGTCTACCTTCAATATGACTTTCAAATATGCAAGGCTTTTCACTTATATACCACCTGAATGTGTTCTAGTGTTTTCCATCACAAACTGCTGTCCATCTTCTCTACAGTGAAAATCCATAAATATCAAATGTCAGGGATGTTTGAATGCACACATGATCCTGCTAGATTTGCAGGTCCCACAGCAATAACAGAGGCACAAAAGAATATCAGAGTCCTTTTCATCAGAATGCAAGAACTGTAGATGCCAAAAGAAGGTACACGCTGTATGTGACCGAGTGTAGACAGATATTTAATATCTGAAAATAAAAAAGGTAACTTTGAGTCTATTATTCCAAAGGGAAATTTAGGAAAGAGCACAGACTGGAAAGGGAGAAATACAAAATTGAAAAGGATGCACTCTCATTTGGCTAGTCCCTGTGGAACCAAGATTGCCTTGAACACTTTTAATTTGATTTTTAAGATGCAAATCGTGCATAACCGGTGGTAATTACACCTGCAGAACCAGGTACTCCTCGTTCAGAATGATCACCCCAAGGCCCTTCAGGATCTGGAGGCTCAACAGGGCGCTCCATCACCACTCTTCCGACCAGGCTGGGAAGGAGACCTACATGTGCTGGGAAACATTTTCACCAAAATACTGAAACTGGAATGAGTGTTTTGGGTAAGCAGATGGCAGGTACTGTGATCTGAGTTCCAACAAACCAGAATATAGGACTGGAAACAGGCAGGCCTTGAGAAGATTATTTTTGTGAAAGTATCTACTATGATTTCTGAGCAGGTCTTCTAGCAAAGTGGAAGCAGGCTGGGTGGGCTGCCCCCAGAACTGCACAGGTAAGTCCAGGTGCCATTACAGCTGGGCCTCCGCTGCCTGAGACTGAACTGCATCCCCCATCCAGCTGAAGTCACTGCTGAGCTTCGTGATGGTCACACCAGATTCCGTTATCTGCCCGACTCAGCCGGACCTCAACCAAGCCCTGCCTATGGCGCCGGCTCGGATTTAGCTTAGAGAGTCATAACTGAAATCCTGTGCGCACTCCATCTACTGCAGTGGACTGTGTGCTCTCACGGGGCACATTTGAACCTTCTTTGCCCACAGCCCAGCCTGCACTTGGCTCAGGGCTCTCAGCCCCTCACAGGGATTGTGACTGTCTGACCAGCGGGCAGGTCCGTTGGTTGATATGAGGATGCTCTGCATGTCTGTGAATTCAAGAAACCTCTGGAGCTAGCGGTGGATGGTGTGAACTGACATTCTCCTCTGCTGGACAGAGTTTGGAACACCAGGCCGGGAGGCAGGGCTGCACCCAGAGCCGTGGAAGAGGCGGCAGGGTATGGTGGTGGGGGTAGTGGTGGCACAGCCCTGGCTGATGAGCCAGGTGGGTGCCTGGTGGTCCTGACCTAGGACACACAGCCCCTGGGCCACATGGCCTCGAGGACGTATGAGCTGAGGAGGCCCAGAAGAACCAAGGGGCTGGCAAGGTTCAGCTCAGCCACGTCATTATTTTAACAGAAGAACAAAATAAATTCTGCTCTTCAAAGCCTTCCTGGAATGTAGGGATTCCCTAGAGCCAAGCCACCAGCCACGGGCCACTTGTGGCTGCCTCCCTATTGCCCTGATAACTGCAGGCAGCACTCACTGTAACGACTGAAGGGCTGCGTGGGGGTGGCCACACCACCCAGGGACAGGGTGCAGAACACCCTGGGGTCAGCGGCCACATCGACAGACGAGGAGGCCACGTGCTGCCTGCACAGAGGAGTGGACGGGCAGCTCTGTGGGGCGCTGAGTCAGGCACATGGAGGGAAGGGTTCCAGGACCTGATCTTAAGACGCGTACCCCAGCCCTGTTGGCAGGAAAGGAGCTCTGGGCAGCTGTCCTATTTCACTCGGAAGTAACGAGGCAGGAGCCCTCGGCCTCGGGGTCCCTGAGCGCTCAGGACACCTGGGGTGGGGGAGCACCTGCAAGCTGCCTAGACCAGTGTGGCTTTGTAAGTCCCAATGCGGCCCAGGCAATCACAGAATCAAACTGCCAATACTCATTTTCTTACATGAAATGTAGTTCTGTTCAAAGAAAAGTGAAGGTTGAGCACATGCCCCACAAGTCTTGGGGGAGACCCGATTTCCCTCATATTAATTAAAAATACACAGCTGCTAATGCCCCCAGCGAAGTTAGTCATCAGCAGGACAATCTTAAGACAGAACAAGTGTTTTCTCTGCTCGCCCTCCCCCGTCCTTCTCAGCTCCGCTCACCTGAAAGCCTTTCCTCCTGATTGGTCAGGTGAGCGGTACTGAATCCTGAACCCAACATCCCGGGTGGCATCGGGTATTCATAAAACAGTCAAGGCGATCGCGACAGTGTCGTTCCCAGAATCGCTACCAAAACATCTTCAAGGTGAGGCAAGCTTTTATGGTATTTCAGTATACATATGGCCAGGCTGCACCAGTTTTTTTTTAAAACAACTTGAGATAAAATTCACATATCATAAATTCATCTCTTTAATCTGTATAATTCAAGTTTTTGGATTTTTGTCAAGTATTTATTCTGTGCCTATTGAGATGACCATGTGGGGTTTCTCCCCATTATTCTAATAATGTGTTTGTATTACATTGATTTTCGTATGTTAAACCAAATTTTCTTTCCCACAATGAATCACATTGGGTCATGGTGTCCTTTTTATACATTGCTGGATTATTTGCCAGGATTTTGCTGAGATTTCTGCATCTATATTCCTGAGGGATACCAGCCTACAGTCTGCTTTTCTTGTGACATATTTATTTAGTTTTGGGTTCAGATTACTCCTTTATTCACTTACATTCTGGGGTAATTTCTAGTAGATTTCTGACTCATTTTTATACTTGTTTTAGTTTATCGGTAGTACTTTCTTTTATCTTTAGTTCACAGTCAACATCTGTTGTTTTAATAATTTTCTTAACTCATCCTTCATGCAGTACCCAGGAATTCCAATGGATAGATAAAATTATTATAATTCTAATGCCACTGGATCTTTTTCATTGAAAGCATATTACCTCACTCAACCCTATGGCACAAAGAGAATTGGAACCCCAGAAAAGTAAATTCTAGAATAAGTAGTTAATACAAAATGTACAAGGTAAAATCACGCCCTTGCTCCCTCCCCGTGGCTTGCTTCCCCAAGAACCCCAGGAGTACCTGGTGTCAGCAGCACGACAGAGGTGACGATCAAGGAGCAGATGACCAGGATGACGAGCAGGGCGATCGCTATGCCTTTCCAGTTTCTTTGTGGAGGGTTGCTGCCCACCAGCTCCTACAGCAACACCATAAAAGAGGCCCAGTGAGTCAAAGAAGGACATAAAACAGGTCGCGTAAACGCATTTCTTTTAAGTCAAGAATCAAGACACAGAACAGTGGATGAGGTCCAGCCATACCCGTCTGCCTCCATGTCCTAAAGCCGAGGGCTCCTTCCCTAAACTACAGCAAAACCTCATCTCAAGAAAGGCCCTGGTATTATGCCATGATATCATACAATATCTGTGAACGTAACATTTCTCTGCTCAGTAACTCGGGTCAGTGGTACAGAGTGACTGCTTCTCTTCCTCAGAGCCCGCCCACTGACGCCCATCGGATCAAACCCAAGGGTGATTGGCACATCCAGCCCCAAGTACCCTTTCATCTTTCTTTTCATTCACATCCACACTGCAAACTTCTATTTCAGGCTTCGGAATCCAAACACTCATTTAGCACGTACTGCGTGCCTGTCCATCACTCGTGACCCCAAGCCTTTTCTTCCTTCTCTAGCTCCTCAAACAGGACTCCAAGACCTCCCAGCTCTCCCCTCACTGGTTAACTAACTCGCTAATGCTGTTCTAGAGTTTAGTCCCCTGCAGGGAAACATATTTGCATCATACCAGGGGTCGGGTGGGAGGCGGTGTCTGGAGACATTGCTAAAGCATGCCAGTGGTTGAATAAATGTAGACAATTAATCACACGCACTGGCTGCTGAGACCAAACACTCAGTTCCTTTCCAATTAGGGTGATCATATAACCTAAATTCCAAACCATGGGACAACAGGGGTAATTGTGATAATGAATAATAATTAATAAATATAATAGTTTATAATAATAATAATAATAAATAATTATACAAGAGCGACTGAGATGCTCCAAGGCCAGTAAGACACTTGGTCACTGCACATGGATGGCCGCTACTTCTGCCCATAAATGGTTCACAAAACAGTCTCTTACGGTGCCCATAATTATAACGCATATTAACTCCCAGTCAAGATGAAGCAGACGGAAGGACTCAAAAATAGAGGATGTGACACATAAATACCTCTTCATCCAGGACTGAAAGTTCATTAGAATGTAACTGATTTCTGCCAATCCAAATAAAGATAATACTCAACCCTGGGATGGCAAATCATTAATGTTTGATATCTGGATATTTAATACCGGCTGTTTAGATTATCAAGAAAAGTTCTGAGGATGATTATAATCTCAGCAGGAAAGTTCTACAGTTGTTTAGAAATTTCTGCCAGTCCTTGTTTCAGCCACCCAGAATTTAATTCATCCATTCAGATGTGGCTCTTCAGCACTTGAGAAAATGAGACCAAACCTAAGCATGAAATCATGACACAAAGTCATACTGAATCAATCTCGTTTCCTATTGGAAAGATTTTTCCACGTGAGAAAATCACTGACCAGTGACAAGAAGGAACCCGATTTGCTGACGCAGCAGCTTTGCACTTCACCCAAGTCACAAAGAACATAAGCCCTTCTCACCAAATCTGTGAAGAACGTAAGCCTGGAGAAGGTACTGTTCATACAACAACAATAACAAGAACAGTCCTGGTCAGTGTATTGCAGACAGCCTGTCACAGACCCAAGTGGGCAGTTTGAGAACACTGTTCAGATTAAATCCCAGGGAAACCATCAGAAACAGAATGTTTTAATACTCAAGACCAAATCTCACTCGAGATACAGAATGACAAAATTAACGTTGTTGTCTTCCTCAGCTCAAACATTTGACACCTTTTGAATCTTGTTTCTAATAAGAATAACCTAGAATTCTAAACTATTTTAAACACATCTAGTATACACATTGGTCAAAGTTTATATGCACAAAAAGCCTGGGACTTTTGCTTTGCATCAATCTGTAACTGATTTACTTGTGAAAGTGCCCAGGAACCAGTGTTGCAATACCAGAAGCCCCTCTGCTGCACCCAGCGTGCCCCTCCCCTGCCCAGATGCACCCACAGCACAGTGCCCGGGTCTAGGCTGGATGTGGTCAGAGACACTGATACACCGAGTGTCTACAGAGACAACCGGAAGCCAAGACACTGCAGAACATGTCATGTGAAATAAGGCTGCAGAAAGTGTTCAGCTTCAAAACCAAACGAGTCCTCATCTATTTGAGTATGACATGGAGACAGAGAAGACATTGCATATAGCTCCAGAAGGCAGCTGGAACCGAAAGGAAATTTCACAAAGGCAGAATTTGGTATCAATAAAACCTGAGCATTTTCAGCCACTAGTATCAAATACTAATAGAAAGGGCGTTTCACCAGGAAGTGGGCAGGATGGATGCACGTCTATTAGAGGTCCTGCAAGGAAAGTGGAAATAAATGATCTTAAAAATGACTCATACAGTGTAAGTTCTACAGACACATGTAGGACGGAAAAGAAATGCAATGCAAAGTTGCTACTATCGGTGGAGAAATGAATGAGTGTCAAGGTGCTTCTGGAAAAGAGAAGAAGACGCTGCTTCCTCCACACTCACTGGACTAAGAAGAGATTTTTGCACAGAAACCCAGCTCAGGATCTACTCCTAATGGGAGAACATGGGACAACCACGCAGTCACTGACAGCACAACACGAAGCAATTAAGTGAAGCAATTCTGGGCCACTTATGTCTTTCAGGCAACATTCTTGTATTTAAAAGCTGGGTAATTTTACCCACAAAAAAGCTGACTTTTTTCTCATTCGCCAAATTTCATTGTACAGGTACAGGTAAATTTTTTTTTACTATACAATTTTGTAACAACAGTAATGGGAGACAAAGAGAAAAATATCATGAACAATCTTGCTAATCCAAGAAAACAAAATTTTTCATTTTTTCAATATTCCTTTCTAGCCCTGGTCTAGATGCCTGTTTAATTTTAACACAGATATAAGGAGAGCAGAGGCACGGCTCCTGAGTCAGAATGCAGGTTAATATGTGCTTCTTTGAACCTCCAATTTGGCACCCCAACTTCAAGGGATTTCCTCATCTTAACTTACTGGAGTTGAATTGTGGAAAATTTGGGTAGACCTGACCTTGCTTTGAAGGAAGGACATGAGAAGTTAATAAATTATCTGCTAAAATGTTGAGCTTCAGTGGTGCATATCTCAATGGAATTATCTATTTTTGCTGAGAGGCTTGAAAATGAGACTATAATATATTCCCTGTTGTGTTTGGTACCACATTCATACCTTGGAGAGCCGATAAAATGGAAAAGCATTTTTACAGTTAACCATTAGGTCTCAGAAGGTGACTGAGTCTTCCATCTACCCACACACCCATCCATCCATCTGGCACATATTCAGTCAGGGCTCACTCTGCCAGGCACTGTTTGAGAACCTTGGGTCCAGCAGTAAACAGACGATGACACGATCATCAACCCAACAAGCTGAGTGGCTTTCATTTTTCCATATTTCCTTTCCTGTATTCTAGTGCAGTGATGGGGGATGAATAATAACAGATAAATCCACTGGAAAGAAAAGGGCAGGAAGGGGGTAGGACATGCATCCTTCCAAGAAAACAAAATTTTTCATTTTTTTCAATATTCCTTTCTAGCCCTGGTCTAGATGCCTGTTTAATTTTAACACAGATATAAGGAGAGCAGAGGCACGGCTCCTGAGTCAGAATGCAGGTTAATATGTGCTTCTTTGAACCTCCAATTTGGCACCCCAACTTCAAGGGATTTCCTCATCTTAACTTACTGGAGTTGAATTGTGGAAAATTTGGGTAGACCTGACCTTGCTTTGAAGGAAGGACATGAGAAGTTAATAAATTATCTGCTAAAATGTTGAGCTTCAGTGGTGCATATCTCAATGGAATTATCTATTTTTGCTGAGAGGCTTGAAAATGAGACTATAATATATTCCCTGTTGTGTTTGGTACCACATTCATACCTTGGAGAGCCGATAAAATGGAAAAGCATTTTTACAGTTAACCATTAGGTCTCAGAAGGTGACTGAGTCTTCCATCTACCCACACACCCATCCATCCATCTGGCACATATTCAGTCAGGGCTCACTCTGCCAGGCACTGTTTGAGAACCTTGGGTCCAGCAGTAAACAGATGATGACACGATCATCAACCCAACAAGCTGAGTGGCTTTCATTTTTCCATATTTCCTTTCCTGTATTCTAGTGCAGTGATGGGGGATGAATAATAACAGATAAATCCACTGGAAAGAAAAGGGCAGGAAGGGGGTAGGACATGCATCCTGGGAGCTGTCTGCAGGTGAGGATGTCAGAGACTCCCTAGTTCAATGACATCTGAACAGAGACTAAAAGAAGTGGAGCGGGGGTGGGGGTGGGTTGCACAGGCTGCTGTGGACAGAACCATGACCCCCACCTCCACACGCTGGAGCCCTGACTCCCAGTGAGGTGCTTGGGTGGGCCTTTGGCAGGTGATTAAGTTTAGATGAGGATGGGGGGTCCTGCGATGGGGTCAGTGTCCTCATATGCAGAGATACCGGAGAGCTTGCCTCCCGCCTCCACCTGCACACACCAAGGAAGGCAATGTTGGACACCAAGAGAAGGTGGCCATCTGCAGCCAAGGAGAGGGCTCGCCCAGGCACTGCTGCTGGCACCTTGATCTCAGGCTTCCAGAACCATGAGAAATTCATCTCTGCTGTCTGAGCCGCCCAGCCTGCAGAATTTTGTTAAGGCGGCCCCAGAGTAAGACGCAGTGTAGGCATCGCATCAGGCCTTAGCTTACTGGTCCTAGGCATCAGGACACAGTTCTGTTTGCCTGGAGCCCTCTCTGAGGTTCCTGCCTTCCATTCTCAAGACAAAAGCCCTTTGTGGGTCACTACATAGCAAGCCCGCCCTCCTCTCTGCCTCCAAACCAGGTCTCAGTCCTTCCCCAGCCCCTGCTCACGACCTGCTACTCTCCTGGAACAAGTCACTCCCTTCCAAGTCCCCTGCCACCACACCCACCTTTGCATATGCTTTTTCTGTTTCTGGGAATTTAATCCTGTCTTCATTTTTCAGGCAAATCCCTCTGCGTTCTTTAGTTGTCAGCTAACATATCATCTC